TTAATTTGTATTATACTATATGCTTATATTAAAAGTTTTTTTTGTCAAAAGTAACTTCTTTATTTAATAGAATAGATATAACTGGCCTTCCATTGCCATTTTGTGAACAATAACTTCCATTCCAGTATTTATCTATAATGCTTTTCATAAAGTTGACATTCATGACATAATTTTACCACAATGGTGGAGAAAATCCAATGTTTAAAAGTTCATAAATTGCATTGAAACTTGAACGAATTTTTCTTATCCTTTGTGTTACATGTTTGATCAGATAGCCTGGCTCACTAAAAGTAGGTGGCCAGTGTAACTCTGATTAAAAATCCGGTTATAACCACGTGCAGTGCTGATAAGGACCACGTGTTTCTGAGACTCCTTCCCCTTTATTTTTCTTCTTTCTAGGTATTTCTTTCTCCTGATGAGGAGGGACCTTTAGCTGCCCTCGAAATCGATTGAATGTTTCAATATACTTACGCTAAATAAAAGGTTGTTTTTACGATTTTGATTATCACAGCGTGTTTCTCTTCTAGCCTGGAAAAATGCTGTTGAATATCCATGCCTATGAGAGCATGCACAGCGTTTACTTTTCTGCTTTGGATGTACTTACTGCTGCCAGTCAACATTTTCTCTCATGACAAAAATTAAAGTTAGTTTAAGAGCACAAATTACAGATGCTCATTTAGAGGACCTACTAAGGCTGCATGTTATGAAGCTTGATCCAAATATTCAGTTACTTTCAGGAAAAAAAATGCAAATATCCCACTAAATTAAATTTTCCATCAGATTTTAACATTATTTTACATATTGTTGCTGTGTTAGTTTTATGTAACTTAGTATTATTACTTGTCTGTTTTTTCTTTATAATGTAATAAATTTATTGAAATGTACTATATTATTTTTATTTGAAACATTATTTAAATATATGTAGTTGTTTATTACAGCATTATTAATGATTAATGTTATAATAAGTTATTAGCCTTATGTGAATACAAAAATATTTTATACTGTAAATTCTTATTTTGATAAATGACTGCGTTTTTTGTATAATGCAGTAAAGTGATAAAACGATACTAAAACTACACTCATGTCCATAAATTAAGGATAATTCGGAGTCACGCGTAAATCAAACTCTAAAATAAATATATCACCTGTAAAATCACTACACACATCTTCAAGAATCATATGCAAATTTCAGGAAATAACCAGATGACACACCGATGGTACATCACAATGACGAGAGTGTAAGAGAGTGATATATAAGGAATACAGGCAAAGAAGTAAAATTGTTCACTGGCGCTTTATAAGCATTTCTGTGCAATAACTGAATAGTTATGACACAAAGGACGCATTTGGATGATTTTTTACATGGTAGAATTATCGGCCGTCTGGAATGTGGGCATACCCAACTGGAAGTATCAGACGCACTTGGAATTGCCCAGAGTGTCATCTCCAGGCTTTGGCAACGATTCCAAAATGATGGTTATGTAAGTAGACGTTACGGCACAGGTCGCCCCAGAGTTACAACGCCGAATGAGGACCGGTATTTGGCAGTTACTGCCAAAAGAAACAAGCGGAGCACAGCCTCAGACCTGTCTCGCCAGCTCTCTTCAGCCACTGGTATGACAATTTCAAGGCAGACCTGTGTACAGACGCTTAGGGCAGATTGGTCTATATGCTCGTAGACCTGTCAGATGCGTTCCACTTACTGCAACTCACTGTCGCCTGCGGTTAGCCTGGAGTAAAGAGCATGCATTGTGGACACCGCAACAGTGGGCTTGTGTGGTATTTTCCGACGAGTCCAGGTTTAGCTTGCAGTCTGATTCTCGTCGGACTTTCATATGGAGAGCTCCAGATACCCGTTACCACCAAGAAAACATCATTGAACGACACCGTTACGGTGGTACAGGAGTGCTCGTTTGGGGTAGAATTATTCTGGGTTCCAGAACTGACCTGCATGTTCAAATTGGAACCATGACAAACCAAATCTATCGGGACGTCATTCTGGAACAACATGTACATTTGTTTCGGGATGCCATGGGTGCACAGTTTGTGTTTATGGATGACAACGCCCGTCCTCACCATGCACACATCGTAAGCGAATGCCTTCAATCAGAGGATATCACCCATATGGACTGGCCAGCATTCTCACCGGACTTGAATCCAGTAGAGCACGTGTGGGACATGCTTGGCCGACGAGTTGCAGCCCGTCAACCTCCTCCTCCTACATGTCTACCGGAACTTCGGAGAGCATTGCTTTTTGTGTGGTGTAATATCCCCCAAGATCAGATCGATAATTTGATACTCAGCATGCCTAGGCGTTGTACGCACTGTATTGCATCATCTGGGAGACATACAATGTATTAACAATCATACCAACCATGTAATATTTGTTTTTTGTAAAAGTGTTTTTTTTTTTTTTTTTGTAATTTGCTCCAGGGAGAAAAAATCGCTAATTTTTTTTATTAATATCAAACATATAGCATCTTTTGTTGCTCTTTACCTTTTGTTTAATAACTAAGCTTTACAAATAAGTCAATTTGTTTTGCTTCTAACTCTTCCTTTGCCTGACTTTGTATTATCCTTAATTTATGGACATGAGTGTATAATAATGTGACAAAAGTTGCATTTATTGGTATATCAACTTAAGCGGCCTCATATCACTAATTTAAATGTGGCCTCTCATGGTAAAAAGGTTCCCCACATCTGGGTTAATATATGTAGTCACAGAGTTCTTATATTCAGCAGAGAGCTTCTGGCAATGAAGTCTGAGCTCAAGTCTCATATTGCTTTTATTTAATATTTAGCTTTACATGAGCATTTAATCTGAACTTCAACAAGCTGCAGAGGTTTGATTTTCTGTTATTATCACTGGGTTGTGTAACTGTCATGCTGTCAAATAAATAAGAAAGTTAATTTTAAACCTTCTTCTGAGTTTGTAGTATTTTACTTAAAAGTTACTAGAGGACAATAAGTCATCTGACTGTCTTTACGGTTCTAGTAGTTAACAGTGAAAGTAGTGCTGAACTATACGAATGTTTCACTGCTTCTGCAATAGTTTGAGGAGAAGATGGTTTTTATGAGTCTTTCATTTACTCAAACTGTATGTGGTACCGTATAATACAAGAATAATATCTTATTTGGTTACCATGTATTGTCCTTTGAGTAGTGGACTTACAGATCAGAATCAGTCCTTTACTTCCATGTGTACAGAAAAATATAATATTAAGTATGTTGTGGTGTACTGTCAAGTTTGTTATTATTTTATTTAATTTTGATATTGTCTTACTATGCATAGTTAAAAAAATTAGTGTACTGAAAGCAATATTTAAGAATGAATGCTCCATTTGCATTACTTGCAGTTTCATGTAACTGTTATCTTTTGGAGCATATTAGCCATGGCTTCTATATTAGTTATTAAATATGTGTATTCTTTGGGCAAACATCTTCAAAAAGGTGGTCAACAGCTGGAATATGAACTCGCATGCAGCCGTGTTTAAACAAAAGGTCCCCTAGTTAAGAACTTATGATTTTTCTTGAATTCTTCAGAGTCATTTACTACTTTCTGGCTTTATCTCAATGGCTAAGAATGAGTAAAGGTTAATATTTAACAGGATATCAGATGGTTACAAATTTTAAGTTTTTAAAGTATGAAAGTCCATTAATATTCCTCATTGTCAGATGCTGCAGCTATTAATAATATTTGGTAGTTTCATTTCTTTGTATGATTTTATGTGGAATTAATAGAAATTTATCTGAGTTTTCATAGAGGCAAAAAATCCATACAACATTTATTTGTACAGAAAAAAGTATACGCACAGTATTGCACATATAAAATAACATGAAAAGTTTTCTACATTGCATATGAAAATTCAGGTAGAGTCCTCTTAATTAAAATATGTGTGACAGTTAAGCACTAAGAAATTGGGGGGGGGGTATTTGCATCTGAAAAACATTAATGCATAACAAGCAATTTCTGTTCATTTGCTTCAGTAATAACCGTATTAATGGAAAGGATTTTCCAAGTTCACTTATTTTGAAAACTGCAATTAAGAAACTGATTATTGAACACATGAAATATTGAAATGGTTGTGTTTATGCCACAAGTAATGCTATTTGCATTATACTACTTGCTTTTGATATTTAAAATTTTGAAAAGTCAGGATCAAGACTAGAAGAGATCTTTTCTGTGGATAAATATTAATCGATGATTGAAAATGTGTTAAGTTATACTACTATTTTATATAATTTTCACATATTTATCACTTGTCTTTGTTTATTATTTTCCATTTATTTGTTTTACCATTTATTATATATTTTCATGTATTTATTTAATTTTATGTTTTATAACATGTTTGTTTGCGACATGTACATTCTTCAAAATCAAAAAATACCTTATGCTGAGAAATATATTCCTTATCCTTCTCTCCAGTTCCCCCCCCACCCCAACAAGATAAGGGAACACAACACTTCAGAAAAGGAATTTGCCTCATAAAAAAGTGAAAGTTTTGCACTGACCTAGTTCTATTATAAATCCTATGGAACATTTGTAAGAAAAGCTTGACAGAAGAATTAGAAGTCATAATTATGTATTATAAATCCTATGGAACATTTGTAAGAAAAGCTTGGCAGAAGAGTTAGAATTCATAATTACATAAATTTTAATGTTTTACTTGAAGCTTTTGGAAAGCAGTCAAATCCATTCATTCAAATGAAATAACTAAGGTGATTGAATAAATGCATTGTAGGTAATGCACTGTTTGAAAGAAAGAGGACTTCTAGCAAAGTATTGAAAATATGGACTATAAATTCCTATTTGACTTATTAGAATATTGAAAAGTTTCGACCGAGTTTTTTGGGAGGGGTCAAAAGAAGTGTTCTAGATTAATTCTTTATATGTTCCTGTCATATTAAATAAATTAGAAAAGTTTTTGAAAGAATCACATTTGTATTTGTCCGAAGAGTTTCAAGCACTAGTGTATAAATGTTTTCACTTTATATTGTAGGGACTGTACCAACAAATGCCCCGTGGGATATTACAGTGATCATAAGTATTACATTTGCCGTATGTGTGACAAATCTTGCTTATCATGCTATGGTCCTTCATACAACAACTGTTTGTCATGCCCTAATGGGTTTTTTTATGGTAAGTTTCCCATGAGCAAATTTTCATTCATTTCCACCCACTTAGTTTATAGTTGCAGCAAGGTATATGAATGATAAATTAGTATAGTTTTGAAAAAATGCTTTAACTCTGCTTGTATTCCATAAACATATTTTTAGTTTAGTTATTCTTTTTATCCTAAGATAATCTCAAACATCAGTGTCTGCCTTGTATTTCATCTTGTGAAACTTGTCATGTTTCTCGTGAACTATGTGAAACCTGTAAACCTGGATTACTTCTTTATCAGCAGACGTGCTGGTCAGCCTGTCCTGTTGGAACATACAGGGAGCAAAATGTGTAAGATATGTTTTCCATAAAAATATGTATTGATTATATGTAGTATGTTCTGAGGTGCCTCTAAAGTTTCATTTATTTATTATTTTGTTCATTTTAAAATTATGTTATTTTGTCATAATCACACCTAAACGCATTTATTTATATGTAAAACAGTCCTTTTGTTGTTAGTTTTCTGGAAATTCCCATTTTAAAATCTTTATCGTGGGATAAAAGATTTTGAAAAAGATTAGTTGCAAAGTAAGTAATTTTTATCATTGTGACTTCTGATTGTAATAATAATTTGTTTTCCATTTATGTATTTTCTTTTGATAACATAAAAAATTATTACAAGTAGTATTTCAACTTAAGAAATAAAAATATTTTAAATGTTTGATATTTCAAATTTGTATTAATCTTGTTCATTTAAGTTCTGTCTGTTAATATAAATATTTTCATCTCAGTTTGTTTATTTTGTTTCTTGCTAAACATAACAATTAAAACAAAAACATAATTAGAGATTCTGATTAAATGTTTAAAAGTTGAACTGGTCCACTAGAGGCTGAGTGGTAAAGTTGCTAAAGACTGGTGGTTTTGTCTGGGGTTCGATTTACAGCAAACAGGCTGACTACATGGGCATTTTCAGGGTTTTCCCCATGTGTAATGCATTTGCACGCCAATTTCCATTACAGAAATTCCTTCATGAAGGCCGTCCACCTCGGCAGATAGCCCTCATGTGCTTTGCTATAATTAAATAAATTTAAAAGTTGAACTTTTGCTGAATCTTGTGTGGATTTTATTTGGCTTAATGTATTTTCTGAAAAATAGGTTTTCAGCATATAAAAATTTAATAAGTTTTACAGTCTAACAATTTTAAAATTTTATATGAAAGTATGTTAGCCTTCTAGTTTGTTTTATAATTTATAATTGTTTTCAGACTCGCACTCTCACATTAACTTTACCCCCAAGTTAACTTTATTCACACATTGAGTATTTAAATGTTCAGCAACTGAAAACTAAGGTGCTTATAATTTAATGTGTTTGGGTAAGGTAACTTTATGTGATTTCAGAACTTCAGGAATATAATTTGTATAGAAGACTGCTTTTTGAGAACAGCTGGTAAACTATTTATATGTGTCAAAACAATGCATAATTTATCCATTTTGCACTTTTCCTGCTATGAGGTTAGAAAGGTCATGAAATGTTATGGCTTTGAGTATTTTTAATATAAATTGGTAAACTTATTAAATTCTGATCATATTTGATTATAATTTTCTATTATGATATATTGCAGATGGATGCTATTTATGGCTATAAAGTTGTTCTTTTTTACATAAGCAGCATTTATCATAATGAATTTAATCAGTCACATGGATTCAACAAACTAAGACATTCAGCACTGTTAATAGTTTTTAAAGGTCTTGGTTTATTTGTAAGAACTATATAATTTATTTTCTAAACAACATGTCATAATAATAATAATGTAATAATTTCTAATAGCATGTAAAGAACTTAGAAAATTGGTTATAAAAAGTAGTTTTTTCACCTAGATTTTGTCGAAAATTCGATTTTGAATTTTTTTATAAAATCGGGAGTTTGATCTGCACATCTCTTTCCCGGTATCTTCAAGCCATTTTCAAATTAACTGTTGGTAATGAAGTTATAGATATTTTTCTGAGGTCTTGTGTCTTGGAAATAGACCACAAGTTACTAAAAAAAACTAGTGTTCAGTTTTTTTATATGTTCCAAGTTATATGTTTATTCAAAATTAAATATTAAACCCTTGCTTTGTGACATTTGCTATTTTTTAGTCTTGCAACTTTGTTTCTGATAGAGATTTTGCATCCTTTTGTTTTTTTATGGTTTACTTTTGGTATGAATTTTTCTAAAAGGATATTATTCTTCATGTGTTGTTTTAGCTGTCTCTTCGCTGTTTTCCGTCTGTTTTTTGGCTAATGTAGATATGCAAACAAAAGAACTTCAGAATTTATTGAAAATTGAAGAAAAATTATAAAAAAATTTAGAGAGAAAGAAACAAGATCAGCATAATCGAATTTTCTAGAAGTTTAATCATATGTTTAATAAACATAATTATTTTTTTAAGGAATTTTTTTTTTACTCATTGTTTTTAGAGTTTACCATTACCTGAACAGGTTTTGAGATTGCTTTTTCAGAATTTGACAGAAATATTTATGAATCATCATTCTGGACATTAAACCTCTGATAATTAATGTGAGGGAATTTGAAATTGATATCACTCAGTAAATAACAAGGAATCCTTTGTTTTTCACACCACAGAACATTTAATGATTGTAAAGGTTAACAGAAAAATAAAACAGTTGCTCAGTGCCTCTTTGCGCTAGTTGAGCCCAAGGATAATTTGGTATCACTTTATGTGTTTACACAGTCACATAGCGCCTGCTCACACTAGATGAAACTTGAGAGTTTATCACTGCTACCTCCGTGTGGTCTGACATCTCTTTGTCCGCCTCACACTGTTTCCAGGTGCATGGGCTATGCGTTTTTTCTGACAGGTGATGGATGCTCTTTGGGTGTGTGCAGGATTTACCGTTCCCACAGCTCAGCATCCCAACCCCCTGTTTTCGGCCCTGAAAACAGAGATCAACAAAACTGGTACATCAAGACAGCATCTAAAAATAAAATTAGAAAAGAAAAGAAAGAAAAAAAAAACAAGTGCAGAGGAATTGCACAGTTCTAAATTGTAACAGTCCATGGCTTCATATGATCAGCTGCTGTGATTGTACAGCCAGGACCTTCATGTTGTCCTACTTTTTCCCATTTTCCACTTGTCGCAGATCTTTGCCTTTTCTCACTCTTGCATGGTATGGATAGAAGAAGTTTGACCTCAACTTTAGACTGCCTCCATATTGTGTTTGTTGTATGGGTATCTAAATCATTCAAGTTGCATTACATGTGCCTCTTTTCTCTTCTTGTTGTATGTTTTTCTATTTTCCTCCTGAATTTTTAGGATGTTTTTCATTGCTTCTTCTCTAAGAGCTTCTCGATCTTTCATCAGAATATTTGTTTGTTTCTTCGAGAATTTTAATAATCTTTTAAGTCCTCTCGATTTCTCATTTTAACACCAGTGAGTAGCTCCAAAAGGTGAGCTCTTAATGCTGTTCAAGATCAGTTGTACATATCCAGTGTATTTGTACTATTTGGTAGGATCTATTTACAATTTCGATAGGACTGGAATTAGAGTCAGATGAATTCTTTCCACCTGCCCATTCCCTCTAGAAATGCCTGTAGTTGTGCTGGGTCTTTTCTTGAGTACAATAGTCTTCAAAGTCTTTAGAGGTAAAAGCCATGCCTTTATTGGTTATTATTCTCGCAGGATTACCAAAAGTCAATTGTTGCAGTTTCAGCTTCTGCAATGCCTCTTGAGCCTTGGGTGGAGCCACACGACTTTTGTAAACATATTGACAACGGTCAAGGTATGATTGTGGTTCTTATTTGTCAAAGGTAATAGTCCTATAAAATCAATGTGAAAAGTTCTCAAAGAGATACTATCTTTTGGTATGGGATTCAACAAACTTTCACCCATACCTCATTTTTTCTCACAGAAAATACACTCTACACAATTTGCAATGACTTGTTCAGTTGATCTTCTAAGGTTAGGAATATAAAAGTCCATTTTAAGCAGATCTGTTTTAGACACAATGAAGTGTCCATTGCTGTGGATACTGTTTATGATTTCTAACTCCAATGCTTCAGTTAGCCTAAGTAAATCGTGAGCACTATCAAACTTGTTTAATATGCCATTTTTTACTCTGTACTCTTCCTTTAGTCCTTGCTCGATTGATTTTAGCAGCTGGAGATGCTTATCACTTCTTTGTGCAGCTTCAGTTTTAGCTGTAACTTCTTCCTGAGAATAGGTAAATCATGGTATCATGACAGTATTTCTACTCAACGGGTCCATGTGCTTCATTTGCTGCCCAGATCTGTGAATAATTTCATTGTCAAATTCTGCTAGAAGTAATGTACATCTCCACTTTAGGATGTAGCATTTCATCATGTCTGCGAGAGGCACAGCATCAGCCAATCAGCAAGAGGCACACATCACCATTTACGTCACATCTTCTGTCTTGCATCACAACCTCTCTTGGCGGGTACCATTGGAGTAGGAAGACCACTACGCAACACTCCTAGTATGAGTCTCATTCGTATGAGTGGATTAAAATATTTTTTAATATTAAATTCTGTTTCATTCACATCCAGGGGTCAGATTAACCAATATCACCTTTAATGGTAACAACTCTTCAATGGCGACTTTAGGACCTGAAATGGTTTACTGTAACAACAACTTCTGGTTTTGATTCTTCCCGCTGCCACGTGTTCCATCTGAAAAATGTAAAAATCCGAAACCTTTGTTTTCATTCAAGTTGATCCATCTCTTTGGTTTCATATGTTATAATCAACATTTGGATTAGCTACGCCTAAACTGATAACAGAGGGAAAGGAAAAATTCAACCAAATTGTAGCTCACTTACCAGCTAATATTGTAATTGTTGTTTGTGATGTCATCATTCAGCCCAATAAAGTCAGCCCATATGAGGATCTGAAATCAAAAATTATAGAATGATGTTTGGAATCAAAGACTCGATATTTGTCGGCTGCTAGCAGGCGAAAGTCTCGGTGACTGAAAGGCCTGCGAGTTTCTTCGCAATATGAAACATCATGCAGAGAATCATAATATAGACAATTAACTTTTATTTGACCCCTTTAATCAAGCAATGCCTGTTTCTTTTCAAACTATATTAGCTTCCATTTCTCCAATTACTTTGGATAAAGCAGTGGAAATTGTTGATCGAATTTTGGATATAAACAACACGAATATATCCACCATCATCTCTAACAATAAATCCCCTTCCGCAAATGCCAGCTATTCTTTGGTTCAACTTCGTGAAGAAATCAAAGCTCTTCAGAAAGAAATGTCCAAACTTCGTCATCCCAGATGTTCATCTCGTACCAATTTTTCTGGCCGCAAATGTTCCAAATCGCGT